CCTGGTGGTCGTGTAGTCGATCACCAACGCTTTGTTCACGTTGTCGACGAGCCGCGTCGGGGTTTCCCTGGGACAGTCGATCATCGAGCAGGCGTTCGAGTCCCCCTTCGGCCCGGTCACCTCCTTCACGACCACGCTCAGGTCGGGCGAGAGCTGATAGAGCCTGTTCACCGCCCCCACGTACACCCGCCCCGTGTTCTTGTCCACCACCAAGTGGTTCATCCTCTTCACCTCCGGGTCGTGGAACCTTTGCACTATGTCCGCGGGTGTCGAGCGGACGGGGAGTCGGGGCGACAGCAGCACCAGGAACGAGAGGAGAAGGCGAAGCTGCTGTTGATGCGACACCGTCCATCCCATCCTCCTCGCTGACCCCTCGCTGCTACTCCTCCTCCCCGGGAAGACTACCATCTTTTGTCTATCCTATTTCTACTCTTCTACCTCCGACTACTTCGATCTCCCTCGCTGCGCCCGAGAATCCTCGACGAGCCTCGCCCACACCTGGACACAAACGAGAAATCGTAATTAATCGTATCCACTTTTCTCCATCCCCCTTTATTACGAAACGTATCGTACATCTCGTCAAGAGGAGATGGAGCTCTCGACATTCGCCAAATTTACATTTTTTCGCGTGGAAAATAAGGGCGAAACGCCTCGTCCTATTAACCCTTTGCACTCCTGTTTCGCTCGGTCGAACTCAGAGCGCGTTCGTCTCGTAAGATAATTATTCATAAGATAAGATTATAAGAGCTTAGGAACCTATTTACGAAGCGATATTCTAAAAAAAATAAACATAAATAAATATTTTCGCCGATATATCACCGCTGGAGTTACGGCATTAATTTAAGTGATGACCGAGAGTCATCGTTGAGCAAAGGATTAATTTCGGAGATTCTTTTGGAAATTTCTCTCCCGTTTACGCGCTTGAACTGTGTTTCCCAGACACGGAGGAAGCGTTCAGTTGGCCGAGTTTAAAACGATCGAGTCGTAAACGCGGATGGAAAACGCAGATGGCGGACGGATCGTGCAAAGTGTATAAAGACGTGTTTTAACGAGGGACGGCATTAAATCAAAGGCGTACTACCACCCATTTTCGCGGACGTTTAGCGTGACTATACGCCTGTTTTACATTAATCGCAAGTTAACGCCGGATCAACGACACCTGGGACACGGCACACCTCGCCGACGAGGAAATAATTATCTCCTCGTTCGAGCACGCGAATTCCGTTTACGAATCGCGTTTGTAAGTAATCGAAAAAATAAACCCAAGCTTAATTTCTGATGCAAAGGATCGAACGATCCATGGATTCGTCCATTTTGCGGCGATGGTAAGTATACACTTGGAGAGATATATTTAAGTGCCACGCGATAATTCCGTGTATTTGTTCTGGACAGTCGAAGTGGAGACTTATCGAACCGATCAGTTTATGCGTAAAGAGAGATTGGCTGTACTGAGGTTTATTCAAGGGAATCCAGACTCGATAATATTATCGTATCTACAACGATTTATTCGGTGTTGTATCTTTTATCTATCGCGATAACACGAAAATACGTATATTTATATACGATAATTATATCGCGGAAAAGTTGCTGGACAACTTTCTAAAAAGTCTTTCTAAGAAGTGAGGAAGAAAAGGACAAAGGGAGGTGAGAACGTTGAGCGTGCGAAATTGCGGAGAAAGAGGACGAAAATCGAAGGGGAGAGTCCCTGACAATTTATCGACTAGGGAAACGAGCCTCTGCCTTTGAATCCGGAACCCCAAACGCGCGCTCCCTCTTAACGAAATGAAACGCTTGACTTTGCGCAGGAAATACGTGAAGAAAAAGGGAGAGAGAGATAAGAAAAAGAGAGGAGGAGAGGAAAAATTTGTACGGCGAGGGAAAGGAAGAGCGGATGCGGAAGAAAAAGGTGTTCCTCGTGCTCGTTCCTTCTTATCGCGACGGAGGGTAACGTTCAATCGCAACAAAAACTTTCCTTATTTTCCGAACACCTATTCTTGGAAAGGGACCCTGTCGAGGCCTCCCTTCTGCAACGCGTCGATTCCACTTTATGGGTGGAACTGTACCGAAACTCAACCCTCCTTCCCTTTCACTCGCAATGTTTTCCTCGTAATTGTAATTGACGATGATTCGTGGGTTTCGATCGAGAAAGATAAGAAAATTTTGGAAATTCCCTTTTCGGGAAAAATGGATCGCGAGGACCATGATATCGAGATATGGACGATATTATTCGCCTTGGAGATAAAAAAATTATCGAGGGGTGAGTCATTGATTGGCGACGAATCTAATCGTTGTTACGTTGAAAAGTTGAATCGCATTCCACGAGTATGACGTTCCTATTATCGAAGCAAGAAGCATAACGATGTCTCGGTTTGGAAATACATCGGACTCGAATATAACACCTTTGCTCTAAAATTAACGCTAACGTGCCAATCGATACGGCAAATCGACATCGCGATACTGTAACCGAAGAACACGAGAAACTAGAATTTCCGTTCTTTCGAAAGTAGATCGATCTTTCGTTTCTTTGATCCCTCGAGATCCAAAACCGAATACAAAATTGGAGGTGAAAGTTTGGAGGCGAAAGTTGGACGTAACGTAAACGTATTCGCAGCGATGACAATAAAGTATTAAGTAACGCCGGATAAAATTAGGAATGACGATGTAGCAGTGACGAAGAGCAAACATCCCCACTCGATCTCGCCTTTACTTACGAATAATTCCTCGACGCGAGAAAGAGAAAGAAAAAAAAAATCTTCGCCTATATTTTTCGAATCTATATTTTTTGAAATGCGCAAAAATCCTCCTCTTCTCCCCCTCCTTCTCTATCCATCCAAACAAAACGACTTCGAAAGCGATTCCCCGTGGCGTGAGATTTAAACACGCCATAGGAACGCGGTAAACGATCCAACGAGCTCGCACGCAGTTTCTCTACCATTCTACCTCGCGCGTAACATCCTACACGGCGTCGCGTTTCGTCCTCTCGTACGTAGCTTTCGTACGTACGAGATGAAGGTAAAACGCTGTGTTGTTTCGAGCCTCGTACGTACGTAGAGAAGCACGCAACCCGATCGAGACGGGGGAATCGGTGGAAAGAGGATCGCGGCGGGTAACCGACAAGTAGATAAGCATCGGGAGATATTCAGGAACGCTTGATTCCACGTAGAAGGGGAGAGCTCGAGTCCGCGTACGAGTCGAGCAGGTATGCGTGCAACGAGCGCCGTGTGCTTTCCAGCTGCGCTCGTGCGCGCGCCACGAAGATCGAAGGGAAAGATGGTCGCGGTACGCGATGCTTCTCTTCTTTCCGCGCTATCTGATTCAACGCACGCGTGCCTTTCCCCGTGAATTGCCGCTTCTGCTGCGACACACGCACCTCGTATGTAGGTTAACGCTGTAATTAATAGGGATAAGCGAGATCGTCCCGTCGCCGAACCGTGGATCCCGACTTCGGCAAGGATCGGAAAATTTCGGCCGACATCGGAACGAGATATTCGTGAGCGACGCGAAGTGGGATGGAAACACTGGGTGGAGTCGCGAATGCGTTTGAATACTAACACGAAAATATTAATGCTACGTTTCGAGCGAGATCGCGATATTTCCGCGAGGTAGTGGGGGAAGTGTACCGAGAACCACCGATCTTGCCCGAATTTTTCCGACGCAACCCCGCGTATCTTTGGTAATTAACGATCGTTTTTATCGTTCGTTTTCTTTGCGATATTCCAACTCTTAGATGATGTAGCGATAGAAAGAACGCTGTATCTATCCACGTACCGCGGGGACCACCTCTCTGCCAGGGAAATTCAAACAAGCGTGAAACGACACTTTAATTAGCGTGTTTACCGGTAAAGAAAAGTTTCACGGATTAATCCGGAAATGAGAAATCTTAAATCTGGCTTCGTTCCAATGAGAGATGCAAAGATTCATTGTGATCTTTTATAATTTTTTATAACTCTTTATTTTAATCAATATAATTCGATCGTTATATCGAGATTGGTCGAGATTTCGATCCAGAAAGGAAGAAAAAAAACGTAGCGGAACGCGGACGATTTCGCAGCGAGCACGCAGGTCGATTCGTATTACGCGAAGTAATTTCTGTGCGAAAGCCTCGGGGGCAAAATGGTCGGGCGTTAATTTTAATTACAAAGTACGCGCTTTAATATGCACGTTTATTTTAATGGAAAACCGACGGATGCTTCCGTGCGATAGCGCAGCACCGATAGAGCACTTCCCTACGCGGCGGCTCCCTATATCTCATCATTTCCACGGAAACACGCGAGATGCCGAGGGCTTTTGTACCCTTTTATTTACTTGGGCCGTTGTACGTATGTGCTTTTCGCCTCGTTTTACCAGTCGAGTGGGATGTTCCCCGATGGAAACATCGGTGACCCACTATCCACGGAATGCGCGCGAGAAACTTTTAAGAAGCTTTTCTCCTCCACCCTTTCAACGTTTCAAGAAGCTACGTGTATTATAGTCGGTCGGAGTTTTATAGTTGGATGTATATATATATATATAAAGAAGACGCGTGGAAAGATGCGGTAAAGTATCGAGAACCGGATAAAAATATCGGGTAATTGCGTATTTCTGTTGGATAGAAAGGACGTTGGATAGTTGGACGATATTGATTCGTGATGTTTAGCTTAGATTATACTATATACATATACGAGATTTCACGAGGATTAATCGAAATTTAAGATAATATTTCGGAAATGTAGAGAGATGAATCATCGGTTAAATGGGTCACACGGCGAGTCATAAAGTAAGAAAGTATCGAAAGAGAATCTTCGAGAGAGAAAGAAATACGAGGCAAAGGATTAAATTTAACGCGAAACGCGGTAAATAACGTCGATGTTGATCCCCCAAAGAATTCGAATCGTTCGAAATCGGATGTAGATGGAGTTGTGCGAGAGCTCGATTAAGGCCACGGTGGAGAGCGAGGGAAACTCGGTTCGTCGAACCTTCGTGAAATCAAGGTCGTCTCTCGAACAGATTCGAACCTGAAATCGGGCCAGAACGTTGGCTTTGATCCTTCGATTGCTCGTTAGAAGGGAATGGCGTCGACACAGATGTTGCCAGGTGAAACGCGATCGCGCCAATACCTTAAGAATTTTAAACAGAGATATCGAGAGAGAGAGAGAGAGAGAATAACAGAATGCAGCTCGATTCGAAGAATACAGTGGACGAGGAAAGGTGGAATTTAAATAGTTGGACGAGCAGGAGTAAATTACGAGGCCGGGAGTCACGTATGGGTTAAAGAAGCGACCCGTTACCGAAGCGAGAGAAGCTGCCTTAAGGGGGTAAACTGCTTTTCCAAGCCGCGATTCCCCGTAACAAATGCGATCATTTGGTAAACCTCGAGTCGGGACTTTTCACTGGAATGGAGAAAAAGAATGGAGTCGAGGAGGAAGCGTGGGTGGATAACGGGGAAGGGACCGAAAGGGGAATGCAGCGATTCTTTTAATGCAACTTCAACTGCTGTTACGTGCATTTATCGTATCGCT